TTCGAGTTTGGATGATATACCCCGAGCATAGATGCATTGCACCAAACGACCTTTTCCCCAAAAGATAGTGGGAAGTACAATATCGGGGAGTTTGTTCACATCTAGTCCGCAAAGTACGTGTAGAATGGGAAAGAACGTGACTTATAGCAAGGCTAGTGGCATCTCCCCTGTGGAACTACTGTGTACTCTGATAAAGTATAAACATCAAGCTAGTCTCGAATTAACTCTCAAGTCTATCTAAACACGCAGTACAATCCCAGGGATTAATCTTGCTTCAAGGTACTTCACTCTATGTTAATGGCTATATCGGGTCATGATCTAAGATGAGTCTGGTTTGGAAGTGGTCCTTGATGAAGATCTATGATTTTCGACTCCTCCAAATTTCAATCAAGGTCAAACAACAGTGCATAGCGTTGCTCCACTTCCGTCAGTCCTACCAGAAAGTGGATCCCTTGAACTGCAGATGAACCAGCAAAGGCGATGTCGTGAGATAAAATCTATTTCTCATGTTTTGATCGGCAGAGGTGGTATCTGCCTATCCCTTACCACACCGCTGTGCCACAATGCGTGTTTGACCCGCAAATTTTAAGGCCTCAATTCGAGGTAGCGCAATAAATGAGCAGCAATGTACGTGCATCCGCCGTTACTCTTTCTCCTGTGAGATGAATTCCTCAGGATCCTACTATGACCAGCAGATTTTCACCGTCACCAAATTGATTGGAATGTCGTTTGTTTCGTGGCAGGCAAATGACGCATCAAGATTTCCCCAGGAATAGCTGATAACAATTATCGAAGTAGGCAGGTGGAAAATTAACGCAGGGTAGCTGGCCCGGATAGTAATTTTCATACTTTAGTGAAAGAAGAAAAAACCTCAGCGAGAACCAAATCTAGATGTCCTGCTTATCTGTTCGATGCTACATACCCATCAAGTTTGTTCACAGTATGTGAATTTCGCCTCTAATTCAAGATTAACCAAGGTTCCATCTGTTTCGCATCACCTCTAGCCAGGGCTTCTATGATATTGGGGTACTACCTACGTCTAATGGAATCTGGAATGTATCCGTTGAGGGAAAGGAACGTGGGTTATCTCCATCCAGATAGATGCATGACAGCTGGTGTGTTTATCAAGTGCATATGTGTGGTGGGTAGATCAGTTGGCGCAGCATTGTTCTGGTAACTGGAGATTGCAGGTCCACTTCCTGTTTCATACGCTTGTTTGCTCATCATGTGAATGTCTGACATTCCGTCAATGTTTGATAAAAAGTATCTCCAAAATCGTTGCGTGCATTCGCAGGAAATTCTGCGGCGATTCCGTCCGTTTTCAATGCTACTGACAGAATCTTGAGGTCGCATCGTTTTCAGAATCATCATTGACAGCATTACTTTGGTGGCATGTACTGACACTTAACTGGCATACATAGTTGTTATACCCAAGCGCTAAACATCACTTTCGTCTGAAGAATATATACTCTACTACAGACAATTTGTGTTTAATTTGACCATAGTTTTTTGTTGGTTTGAACCTTACGGAGATATGTGACTCGCGTTCCTAAAGTTCACACAGAACATTGTACTGTGGTGACGCTAATAGTGTTCTCAAGTGTTGTAGGCCCGTATAGTGTATAAGGGCGGTGCGCAGTATTTCCCACATAGCTTACTTGGGAAGCACTTATCCGGTTGGTAAGAGACTGCTAGTTTGACTCCTGTCCAAGTGCTTTGTCCTTCTGCTTACTTCTCCGCAACCTCGCTTCCTTCACACCGATTAAAGACCTTGCTGTTTGAATTAAAGCTAGGCTGTCCCGTGGCTTGCTTATAACCAAACAAGTGGTCCTGCTTGAAGAACAGTAGTAATCCCAATTACCAGTCTGAGTACAGTCCGTGCAAGTTAACGTTTCTGACGGTTATTTGTAGGGCATTACTGAAACGTTGAAGAATGAACATACTTTTCTAGCGTAACGAATGAAGGCACATCTTAATTGCATAGTTTGATTACTGAATTCATATGTTTGCTTGTTTAGATAATCTACCTGTGTACAGCTGTCTGAGTTGCATTTGGTTCTAAAGTAAACGCAGCGGCAACGAAACGTGGCACAACGGATTGAAGACGTACAAGCGGCACTTCATAATTCGCAATGACTGTGTTCCCTTTGGAGTATTTTGTTACAACGCACACTCTACTTCTTCAAAACTGTAGACAATGAAGCCTCAACGCATGACTGAATGGGTACAATTCACTCAACTTGAGTGTGTGTACAAAGCGACAAATGACAACTGGAATTTATAAATTATGATACACTAATCGGTGTATGCATTATGGAAAATTTTGTCACGGACTCCGTAAAAGGCTTAGGCATCGCCATTATCATAATAAGCATATCACTTTATGTACTATCAGTCAACGAACGCAGGAGTCGTATTTGCATGTTCACGCCAGTTTTAATATATTGCCAGCGATCTTGTTGTGGAGTTGGAACAAAAACCTGGGAGTAGATATTTTCGCATCGGATTCGAATGTGAGCCAGCAGTGACCAAGCAAACGTGCGCAATGATCACTACGTTATACCCACTGTAATGTCCGTGTATACTGCATTGGATTTCCGACATATTGTTAAATTGGGATTGGGATGTGAGACAGAATGGGAAAGTATAGCTGTTACGTAAGCAAAAGTTGACCATGGTTTTGCCTAACTAAGTGGTCACTTGCCTTTACCCAAAATCACTCATATGAGTTGTTCGAATCATCAGAATTTGGACTTCAATCATGCTGTTAGCTCTTCTGCTATCATGGTGAGTGAGTTCCTGCGCACATTCTTCTTAGACTGCTCAATAGAAAGGTCGGGAAGAGTCCTGCTACTTGGGTGGATGAAATAATGCATACGCTTTCGTTCATGATCGTGTTCTAGGTAAACTTATCGTGGTCCACAGCCAAACCGGTAGTCTGGATTCAGTAGGGTTAAGAGCTTGATCAACTCTAGCAATGGACACGGCACCAATCTTTATATCACCAGTGCAATAGACAAAGTTGGTCTACTGTGTTGTTCACTGCATCAAGGGTCTTCCACAAATAATAGACGTCAGCTTTTGTTTCGAGGTCTAATTAACATTCTGACTGAGGACTAAAAATGAAGCGTTGTGGTAGTCCATGATTATGACCCATTTCATAGTGAATTGCGAAGCACCTTCGATTAGCCGCGATACGATTGTGGTATGCTCTTGCATCTGGCTGTCTACTCAGCGACTTTAAGTCCCATCGAAAATATCTAGAACATGATGAAAAAAATCAGCAAGACAATCATGCAACAGAATTCGAGAAATACACTCATGTGCAAATCAATTTGATTTTCACGAGAGACTCAACTGAATCTCTCATTTATGATATTCTACAACTGAATATGCTGCACACAGGCCACCTCATGTTTCAGTTGGCACGATATTCGAGATATCGTGGGTTGTCGAAGGGTCTTTAGCAACCTGGTGAGTAGCTTTCTCTATGAAAATATACTGCAATATCTCGTGCCAACTGGAACATGAGACGGCCTGTGCGCAGCATATTCAGTTGTAGAATATCATGAACGAGAGATTCAATTGAGTCTCTCGTGAAAACCAAAATTATTAGCAAATAAGTGTATTTCTCGAAAACAGTCCAATTTGGATTCAAGCAGATCATAAGGTTGACGGAACTCGTGGATTGTGCCTACCTGGTGAGCCCCAAGAAGGGTGAAACCGGTTGTGGGCTGTCGAAGTGTTGTGAGTAGTTTCCTTTAAGGAAATGCAACAGAATTGCTTGAAGATAGTTTTTGGGGGCTCCACTATGTGTACTGGCACGTGAAGTAGCGCTGGTTGGTTCTGGCTTCTGAAGATACACATTCAGTAGTCACGACTCAGTGCTGTGTACATATCGTGTAAAGTGTAGGTTCTTGTTCTACTGATATATTGAATGCTAAAACATTTGTATGGTCGGATTAGCGCTTAGTAATTCCCAGTAAGTTGGACAACTTGATGGACTTCGACAACTAAGTACGGTTGAAAACTTAATTGAACAGAGTCCTGTCGCTTGCAAACAGCAAATTTCCTTAACAGATTTATTCAAGGATTAGAACAGGGCCTGCTTCGATAAATAGATACTTTCCGTGCCCTGAGGAGGACCCCGTCAGAAAGGTTCATGACACATCTGTTCAACCAGTTACGTCGTAACGGCTTTCATCCGTTCACTGAATCGCACCTTGCCCTGTAGAATAAGATAAATGTTGGACTCACGCACCTAGTCAGGGACACTGTGTCACACTCCAGATCACGATATTTAAAAGTATGATCTGTCTGATGTGGAAGAGTCCCGGTGGGCTTACAGTGAGGTAGTTAAGTGAAGTAAACGATTAGCTATTCGTTACAACAACCCTATTGCGATCGTGATCAAGGCAAGTGAATCCGATAGTATAGTGGATGAAAAACAGTCTGATTGTATGAGTTGTATTCATGAGAAGGCTTAGGCAGAGGAAATGGTGTGTGTTCAAACCTTAGAAGGACCGAGCAACACGTTCATGAGCACGGCAATGAGGAACGGTTTATTTGTTTTACCAGAAGAGTGCAACCGATTTTCAATCTATCTATCCACTTCAGAAGCAATTGGGAACGCTCCGTTTATCCCGTTGTCAACTCATTCGCTGGAAAGCCATCAACTATGACTGGTCTGGAATGATGACCTCCGCGCAATCTGTTCAATGCACGGCTTTGGCCAGCCAATCAGCAACAGCTCCGTCTTGCTGTTGTGCCTAATTGCCAATGGGATTCAAGTAACACGGGATGTCCATCACATAGTCCCGGCGAATCACTGCATTATTTCCACAAATTGGGCACACTTTTGAGAATGGTATCCGGCGTGTTGTGATACTACTTTTTTAACCACGATGGTGTGGGAGAACACCAGATGTGGGAAGATACGTGGGTTTCCCTTGCGAAAAAAACATCTACACAAAAATGTTGTCTCGTTAACAGCAAACAGCATGTGGAAAATTCCCATATTTGTTCTGCTCATCCACATTTGTCGGTGTGAGGAGAAGTCCAGTTTACATATTAATATTGAGTTGGAAGAAGAACTACCTAGAACTACCATAGTGGCTGAAATGGACAAACTAATTGCTCATCAGCTGACTCATGTTCACAGACAACTTGAAGAAGGGGCTCAAATAGCTCAAATGACTGTGCAATTCCTGGAGCCCAATAACTTATTCTACTTACATTCCACTCAATCAGGTAAGCAACTTTTGCGAGTTAAAACGCGTGTGGATCGTGAAGCTGACTGTGTGGATTCAAGCATATGCTGTCAGGCTAAGGCTAGTTTCCGGACATCAGCCCCAGGGGTTGATTCAACCATTTCGACAACTACGGAATCTGGGTCATGTACACTTGTTTTACTATTTTTGACAGAACTAACATTGAAAACGTCATCGGATTTTTACACCAGACAACAGTTGGTTCAACTGAATATCTATCTTTTGGATGTGAATGATAACGCTCCCAGCTGGCAGACGCATTCTTCGGTCTCCGTGAGCCTTCAAAATTTAAACGAATCTCAAGCAGTTCGCAACAGATTACTACCTACGGCTCCGGCTATTCCTAGGCTGGACTTGAGTGTGCCCGAACACACTGCAATTGGGACCAGAATTTCCCTTCCCTCTGCTGTTGATCCAGATGCCAGTCCAGAAAATACAACTTCCTCCTATGGTATCGAGACTCAAAGTATGCCTGACGCTTTTGTGCTAGACTGGGACAGGACAATGACCGGGCTTACATCTCCGGATAACCCGGCATCCAGTTTGTGGCTCGTGGTTAACAGAGATCTCAGTCATGATGAGCAATCGGAACACCATGTAATTGTCTACGCTTCAGACGCTGGAAGACCAAAACCACTGACTGGATATTTGTTGATTAACATCTCCGTAACCGATATTAATGATCATCCACCCAAATTTTTGAAGCGATCAGATATGGTTTCTGTTCGAGAACACACAACGGTGGGAACGAGCATCTATCAACCCACAGTCCACGATGCTGATCCTTCGGACAGATTGCGCCTAACTTTTGGTTTCCGTCCATCAACCTCGAGTGTGTCCCGGCAGCGATTTCATGTTGATCCTAGGAAGGGGGAGATTTCAATTCATGGTGTGGTCGACTATGAACAGTCACACTTTCATCAACTTTTTATCTTCGTTTCCGATGGCAAATGGACAGATGAAATGGAACTAGATGTGCATGTTATCAATATAAACGATCACGCCCCGGAAATTCAGTTGCATTCGCATCTGGTCACGGGGTTACCGGATCTCATGGACTACCATGCCAATGTACCTTATGCGCAATTAACAGTTTTGGTCCTTGAGAATGGACCGAATGACCAACTGATTGCAACAATGACTGTGACGGACAAGGATTCGACTGCCGAATTACGCGCCCGAAACTTCATCACTATGGGAAAACAGAAGGAAGTTCTGCTATCAGAACCTTACGTTCAGCGGACAGTAGATCCTCTGGTAAATATCCTACAGCCAGTTTGTTCAATTAGCAACCAACAATTTAAGATAGAGCCTCTTGTAGTCGATGGAGTAAAACAAATGGAGGAGAAATTCCGGTTTAAAATATCGCTAGCGGGAAAATCGTTGGATAGAGAGAAACAACCACGTGTGGTGGTAAAAATTATCTGTCATGATCAATACGACCATCAACAATCGATTGTCCAACAAACGGCGCCCGAATTTAGAAGCTACGTTCATCAACAGAGTGGACAGATTCGCACAGCTACTGCACTACTGAGGATAATTGTCTCTGATGAAAATGATTCCAAACCTCAGTTTCTTGGGCCTTTGACTGCACAACTGTCAGAGGATGCACCAGTTGATACACTTGTTGCTAGACTCAAGGCTACTGATGAAGATGACCCCCATACGAGTGCAGGTAACCTAGGACTACGTTTTCAGCTTATCCAGCCATCGAGGTATATTCCATCAAAGAAGACTGAAAAAGATGAAGAAAACAATAAACCAACAGATATCGGTAAAGTTAACGGACTTGAGCTCCCTCCCGAACCATGGTTCAATTTAAACTCTGTGACTGGGGAACTAAAAGTATTGGTAAAGTTTGACCGCGAGCAAGTCAGATCAATTTTATTGACAGTAGAGATACGTGACGGTGGGAATACGGACCAATCAATGCTGCCCACAGAGAACACCCGGATGAAAATCAATAACCACTCAACAATTAACCGAATAAATGCAACCGTGACAATTGACATCAAGGATGCAAATGATTGTACACCGAAATTCTCTCAACAGCTTTATGAATTTAACATAACTGAGGACGCCGTTCCACCAATGCATGTTGGCAGACTGGACGTGACAGACTGTGATGTGGATGATACCAACAGTCAAATAACCTACTGGCTGCAGACGGGCGCTGAGGCTATGAGTATCACCCAGTCGCCCCAAGAGCTTATTTACAAGCAATCACACTCAGATGCAAACATACATTCCTGGTTTTCGGTTTCCAAATCCGGTGACCTCTTTTTACGTACCCCACAAACTTCAATCTATTCAGCTGGGACCCTCAGTAGCGGAGCATTCACCCCTTTGGACAGAGAACGAAATGAACTGATTGTGATGGACGTATTTGCTCGAGACGCAGGTTCTCCGTCACTCACAGGGTCCGCCCAGCTATTAATAAGGGTGCTTGACGTAAACGATCATGCACCGGAATGGGAATTTCCAAAGCCACTTAATCGGATGGTAAACCTGTCCTTGGACACAGCGATTGGCAGTCGCGTTGCACAGGTCAGCCTAATTTTTATTTTGTCAAGTTCAGTTGTCCTGTATTCTGCTTACGTAGATCAGAATTAATTAAAGCGCCGTCACGTGCCACACTGACTAGGCCCATCATCGTTCCGTCTGAGAGTATTTATCTAACATCAATGCAATTTTTCACTTGGCGTTGTAACGAACAAAAGTAGGAGAACGTGAATCAGTAACTATACGAAAGATGTCATACAATCGGCCATGGTAACCTAGATCTGGAATGCATGATTTGCTCTCCGCAACAAAGAGACTGAACCTTGCTGTGGTGTGACGTGGTCAGTGAGTTATACAGCCGGTTGATCGTGTGACATGCACAGAGTCACCTATACCGGATGGGTCAATAGATAGAGGGTAGAATGAACGACTCCTTGGTCCTCTAGTTTTAGAATTGGAAGATATATGGCAACCTGTTCTTTAGAAATCGCACTTTTCTGGTATTATTTTGCCAACCATCAATTTACTTGAGACTTCTGAGCCAGTGACCTGATGGCCTTAATCGTTCTCACGTCTAGGTTTTGGCGCAATGGCCGTATATTCACACAGGAAATTAACAAGGAAATATATTTAAGCCCATAATTTCATGCCATATCGGCTGTCTTGTGATCACGTAAGCTATGCCGCCGTACTTGCAGGTCGGTAGGCGAAAGCAGATTACTGCTAACACCCCCGATCTTTCACCACCGATCTTCCTTTATATCTTCCCTGTTCCAGTCGCTCTCCAGATAGAGGGAATGTTGCGTCCGAGGAAGTGACTGTAAGGCGCAGCGCTCGTGTCTTCCGCCTCGCGTTTGCTTCTCACACCTCGTTCCTAAGTTTTTGGTGCGACTTTTAACGCCAAAACTGTGAGGCAAATCAGCCAACGACTTGTTCTGGCACCCACCCTTGACCCTGTTGATACGCGTTGCGTTTCCAATACTTGAATACGGAAGTTGGACTTACAGAACCGTCATTATCTAGGCACTACCGCCTACGAACTTTAGGTTATGTTGCATCTACCTCAGCAGGTTACGGCTGTGGAGGTATAGCTCCCAGCTCCGAGCTGAGGTTTTCTAACTCATGTGACCTCAGTAAATAACTACCCGTTTGTTGTCCGCTTATCAGCTTTCATAGGAACCAGCACCAAAAGGAATACTGTCACTGTGACCGCTGCATGTGATCCGGTGAAAGATAACTTTCATTAGGTACCAACTATTCTCCTATTCAGGACGGGAAGTTGGGATTTTGTCCTGGTTGGTGGTGGCCTAATGACATAAGTAGGACGTAGCACTTCGCCGGTTACACAATCTGATTATCTGTTCAACCTGGACCCAAGAAGAAACGGTAGTCGTGATTATCTTCCACAGTAGTGCACTAATCACCAATGGTTCCTGACCACTACTGTATTCAGACGCACTGGGCGCTGTTGCGCTGCATGGCGTCCATCTACTGATGGAAAACCGTGGAGCCGGATCGACTGCGAGGCTCTTTTCTTGATCATTGACCTTACTGGGCCGGCCAATCACGTTGATTCAGATCATGGTTTCATTGTCTTTAAATTTTCTGTAAGCTTTCAGGAGGAATCGATAAATAACCCTCGTTTTTCCATCGGAAATCGTCTGATTCACGAGTTGGACAATTCTCCCAAAATGGACTGTGTGAATCGTTAAATGCTATGTCCTCACGAGGCGTCAGTCATAACTGGGAGGAGGTAAACACCGCCGGTCACACTGCATAGGACTGCATGTGGTGTTTCTGAAGGTCCACCAACTAGGCCCCAATGTGAAAATTATCTCCTTGAATGCTGGGCATCCTCCAGCTAGAAGGGCTTTTAGACTTTTGGTAAAAGCGTAGTCTGTCTCAGAGCGGTGAAACCTAGTGGAATTAGAAAGTTTTGAAAATGGAAGAAGCTTGTGTAGGTAGGGAGTTTTGGAAACCTTTTCACCTGATACGCAAAACAGAATCAAGAAACGGCTATTAGCGAAGTCAATAAGGATAAAGAAATCTAACTTATATCAGAAACTGGCGTTTTAACTACTGGACAGAATACTCTGGATAACAGTTTGGTCTGCCGATGTACCCACGTCTTTAATTCGATTCGCTCAAGCCCTGATCTATGAGTTTAGAACTAAGATGCCTTTCTGCCTTGAAGTGTCATCAGGCTGCTATGTCGGACAAACTTCAACCAGGGTCATGAGTCTTCGTATTTTGCCTTTATCTGTTTTTTGCCCGAATTTGGGAATGAGATTTATCCCAGTGAACTGGGACCAATAAGTTAGCATTCTTTTTCAGAAAGAGACAGAAATACTGGGGTATTACTCCATTTGTAATAAGGCTTTAATTGGCTTTAACCACACTCCGACGTCTGACCTCATCGTGGGAGAGGAAAGTCCGTGAGCATCAGGAAGGATTACGACCAGATAGTGGGAGCATTGACCAGACCTTCACATTATGTCAGGTGATTTAGCAGCTTCATTAACACCATCTAGCGGTTTTCGTTGACTTCAGAGGAGAGGACAGTTTAGTTTTCCTACATGTACTTTTTCAGTGAGGAATGCTCTCGAGTGCAGTTAATATTCTCTGTACCATTTATTCCCACTCTTCTGGCCGAACTGGACTCTGTAGTCAGCTGTCCAAAATTTTCCTACCACTAGTGGGGTTCTTCAGGGCTGTCTCAGCATTCTAATTAAGTTGAATTTCGTGTGCGACACCATCATAAAGTGTGCTCTTCGAAGGATCTCGAATCTGGTATAGAAAGCTTTCACTGGCTGCAACATGCACAATGAAGCAGTCCTTAAGCGAGCATGAGAAGACTGGTTCGATTCACTCGAGCAGCATTTAGGATTTAATCGAGTTAAGGTAGTTCAAGCACATATTAACTATGCCCTACAATCGTCTACTAAAGAAGGCCTTGTGTTCCACTCTAAACACTTGCTGAGGAAAAGTTACCAAAAGACAGACAATGATGTGGTAGGGCGAAATAAAGGTAGCCAATATCAACTTGATCATTGCGGGATCTCCTTGCTGGGTGGGATTTTCACTGAGTTGAAAACATTACAGGATATGGCACACAGTCGATTTATGTGGCAAGTGTGCTGTCTCTTTCTGGTCAAACTGTCTAGTTAACACTTGTCTGTCGTTGTGTGCTACGCTTTCGTCGCGTGATTTTCCCGATTCCACTAATGGCATCTTGCTCCAAATGATACCCATATGTTTTCATCTCAATAGGCTTTGAAGATGCGGGTACCTCCACTTTAATGGCTTCCTGTGAAGGTATATAGCTCTTTACAATATCTTTCCGTGGCTTTTCTCCCTTCTCACCCCTTCCTGTATGGATGTATGGCAGTTAAGCACAAGTTTCTATTCCTGGTGTGTTGCTGTCCAGGATTTTGATGACGACGGTCTACCTACATTCGCCAAGACATTAAATACCCAAACAATAAGGATTTCATGGTTTGTCCTTGTTCTATAGATTGGTCGTAAAAGCCAATGTCCAAAGGCTCTGAGTATTATGTAATGGGCTCTTGTTCGCTGGGTCAGTTATATTGCAAGAACAATTTCATCCATCAAGTCTCTTTGATGGATACCATTAGAAGTGAATCGCCACTTCTAGGTGTAGGGCTATTAAGAGGACAGACTTAATGTAGATCGTTACTGCAGAGAATTCTTTGCACATTTATATATCTTAATTACAGAAAGTATATTTTGTGAAACGAATCTTGCACCGCTCGTTGTCAAAACGTTTTTAATCCAACTATGGGCTGTTTTCAGCAACCTTGTGAGTAGTTTCGCTTATGAAAATAATCCAACTATGCTTTTTGAAGCTGTTCAACGCTGCACAACTTTTGAGGTATGGCTTATTGCAAAAATAATGCCGTATTTGACCCGTATTCGTCATTTTCATCATTTAGTATATTGAACGCACGGTTTTCTCTGTTTTTACTTCAACATGATAACCAAATACAAATTGCAGATTGAAACACGATACTTTATTCCATTATAAAATAGAGAGCGAACGACATTGAAAAGCGGCGTCCTGGTGGAAAAAATTACCGAACAGTAAATGTGTAGTATTAACTCGAATAGAGAAATAAGAAATAAGGGAAAATAAGTGAAATAGTTCTTTTACTGAGTATCTACCTTGGCATCCTCAAAGTGGTATATTTATGTGATTTCAGACATAGCTATTCATGACCGCCGCTAACTGCTTTCAAACTTCAGATTTCCGGCTATATGATAGCTTATCTTTTAGCCTGACAGGTTTTTTTGCTTTCTCTGCTCATTTAGGCGAAAATTTGAATTCAGTTTACTTCCTTTTGCAAATATTACTATCTACTATCCAATCCGAACAGTGGTACTCCTGGTCATTTTATGACAGCTGTAAGGACGGTGTGCCGGGTTCTCAAAAACCCACAAAAATAAAGTTCTACTTTAAGTTAATTGAATGACTAAATAGCGTCTAGGTGAGCTCATCTAATTTGGCAGCTATAGAAGACTACCTTAGTAAGCACTGTCGCAAACAACAGCTGACTTGTGCTCTAACAATTAATGATCTGGTCTTTATCACAGTAATCCGGATATTCAGATTCCTCAGATTCTTCATTTTTTGCACCAAAAGATTTAATTCACGAGTTAGAGCAAATAAACTTCAGGAAAAACAGTTTTTTAAGGAGGAGTTACTCTGCCCCTCTATAAAATATCCACAGTTTTGTTCTTCTTTCAGTGTTTTCTATCCTTCAAAGAAGTACAAACAAGTTTCAACATTTTCTGGGTTGAAATGGCGATTGTTAATGATCTGAATTATGCGAGCACAAGCCTGAATGGTCGGTGAATTGTGAAAGTCTCCTGAAGCTAGTAAATGTACGCGAGAAAACGTCTCGGATTAAAACTAGAAAAATATTGCAACTGTCACTGAATGTCGAGATTTACTTCATTTTTCAGTGGACAACACTAGCCGCATATGTCTTCTTATTCAGGTGTTACTTACCTTCTGTAAGCTGCACATTCAACAGTAGTTAGTTTTCACACCTGACTGACACATGACACAAACAGCTGTTTCTCGTGGTCGG